TCGTAAGACTTAAGACAATTAGGATTAGCCTCACCTTCAAATTAAGAGTTGAGAAATCTGCAGGAGTTCCACACTCATCACTACCGCTAGACTTCAAGACATCTGACATTTCCCGAAACAAGGCCCAATTCATTTGCATTGGTTGATTGCCACAATGCAAGGAAACGTTGGCGCATGGATCAGAAATGACTTCAGTAACAGTAGAAGTCTGAACTAGTGAACTGCCAGTTCTGGCCGGAAGCAACAAACTCAGGATGTCTTCTCTGCTGCAGTTTGTTCCCAACTTCACAGAAATAACATTGGTATACTCAACTCCCGTAGCAATCTCACCAAGGTCGACAACCAAAAGAGGATCTCCGCCCTTTTGAAAAGCTTCTCCAATTTCATTGATCTGAAGATAGTTATTCTCCGTTCCTCGTTGAAGAGTGCCATAAAGTTCCACCGGAAGCTGGTTCCTAACATCATCGATACTGAGCACTTTGAAAAGAACATCATAGTATTTCTCACAATTCACACACAGTACACACAGGATAAGAACCAATCTCAAGACCATTTGCTTATAGTACAGATCGACATTTATTTTACACCGGGAAATCCACTCAACTATACCAGCTTTATCATAAATGAATTCTTGTACCATTACAAGAATGGAATCATAAAATTCTTCTAAAGGCAGTGTGTTAATTGCATGCCCGGAAGTTGGTCGGGCTTCAAACTGCTCAGAGATCAGCCATTCCACAAATGAAGATTTCGCGGTGAAAAAAAATCCCCGAAACTGAGATACCAAAATCAGAAAGCGCTCGACGAGATACAAGAAGCAACAAGGAGATACACAGTCGCCTATTTTCTTCCAATTTGCACTAAAGGTATCCTGTAAAGCTTCATAAAATATCTGCAATAACGTAACCTCCGTAGTCTCAACAGGATTATTCGAAGATTCCAAAGAACATTCAAGATTACAGTTACTTGATAGAATGTCTTGAAATAATAACAACTTGCCGCCACCAACAGAATCGCCTGACTGACAATCTTCCAAGCTCCCTCTCCGTTTCGTGCAACCGAGAATTTCAATGAATGATTTCCATGGAACATCTGATGGGATTCTTCCAACAATTATCTTGTACAGCTCGTCGGACAGTTTTCCAGAACTAAGCCATATGATCACAATCCTTCCAATTTGTCCGTAGCTAAGAGGATAACCGGTGCCAATATCTTGAACGATGAATTCTTGAAGTAAGTCAAAGGAAAGCTTTGTTCTCCTTAAAGAAATCATACTTTCAACCATTGATTGTCGGGGATCAAGGGGGAATACCTTTTCATAGTACTCTGTAGATAATGTCAGAAAGTTTTGTATTCTCCTCTCAAAATTGTTCAAATTTTGGTGTTTCGACTCACTTAAGCACTTTGCAACCTCGTAAATATTTAGTAGGCACGTGCTTTGACAAAATAGAGGCATGGACTTCGCAGCCAACTCATAGAGGGATCTAAGAGTTTCAAGAACCTTCAGACCGACTACGAGTAGTTCTGTATGCCAATGAGTCCGAGCAGCAGAAATAAAATGCCGAGCATCAACAAATACTATCTGCTTGTTCCGTCCAATGACAAAGTTGTGAATATTTTTGACCCATTCGGCCTCTGGATGCAGCAGAAAATATGTGACGTCGAGACCATTCAACTGCTGCCTCACACCAAAGTATTTTAGGAAGAATTCACCAACTCCCTTAAATTCACCAAAGTTCACTTCTCCGAGGCACTCGAGAGAATCAAGCATGTGAAACACATTTTTCCTCCACGAATTCCAAAACTGAACCAGCGTTCCAACAGTAACCTGACAGCACGAAATCAGTTCTTGTGAACTCTGTAGATTGACCGATAATTTATCATCCCAAACATACTTCGTTGCATCATTTTGGAAATGAAAATCCAAGATTTTTCTACAGCATAAAATTTCACCTACGAGACATCTACTTTTCCAAGAGGCGCTGAAAACATCCTTGAAGTCAGACCAGTCACCTGACTCATCGGATAAAACCTTAATCTCAATGCAAGTGGTCTCAAAATTTGACCCATCCCTTGCAAATGACATTGCCTTCTTTAAGAGATCCTCCTTTTGCACGAACGACTTCAAAGGCCAACCTTTGCTTCCAGCCATCCATAAGGAGTGAGAGAGCACATACAAAAGGATGAGCGAGGATGCCTTATCGAAATCCCCTCCCTTCCCGATCATAGCAGCTTCACAAAGAATATCTCCCTTCAGCCGTGCGATTTCTGCTGCTTCAGCAAAGTTTCCGGATTCTTCTTCTAACAGAAGCAGCTCGTCAAGGCACTTTCGAGACATCAAGAATTTGCGCTTCATGTCCATTGACGGGAAAGCTCTGACGAATTTCATCATTGATGCTTTGTCCTTGAGCTCAAAATAATTATATGCACAATTCTCAAGGAACTCCTTCCCAATTTTGTCGATTTCATCAACACTTCTCCCGATATTAGTACGCCGGGCCGCATGTTGCTTCCAGTACTCCATATATTTCAGACCTAAGTCATAACATTTTCCTTTCATACAAACAGACAGGCATTCTGTGAAATAATTTCCTTGTGCATAAACTCCTGCTGCCCGCTTATAGCGGCCCGCCAGTAAAAAACATTCAGCAGCTTTTATCAGTTCAGATTCACCACATTTGTCCAAATAAATATTTCCTGCAGATGCACGTTATACGGATTAACCGAAAACACCATCACATATGAGATTTACTTATGTATAATTAATGACGACGAGGAAATCTTTACTTATTAGCGGAAGAGATCAGAAATAGCTCAATAAGATAAGATGAAGCAGAGATACAGGTTTATTAGCATTTTATAGCACTAAATACCAGAGATAAAAAAAAGGGCAACCCGATGCACTAAGCTCCCGCTCTGCGCGAGGTCCGGGGAAGAGCCGGACCACAAGGGTCTATTGCATGCAGCCTTTCCTTGCATTTCTGCAAGAGGTTGTTTCCACGGCTCGAACCCGTGACCTCCTGATCACATGGCAGCAACTTTTCCAGAGATAACCAACGCATTAAAACAAAAGGCTTTCACCATTTTCAATTGATTAGTGAACAGGTATACTAATGTTTTTCATTAAACTAAAGTACTAAACATACCCTACGTCAAAGAAAAAGTCGTTTTTAATTTCATTTCGGTTGGAGGGAAGGAGATGTTTTAGTAAAAAAAAAAAAAAAATTGCAAACTTACGTAATTAATTTCTAGAGGTTTACCTAGCAATGACCAATCAAAATACCGCACAAACGCTCAAGCATATTGTTTAAAATGTATGTTTACTAAAGCTAAAAAATGGATGTCCAAACTTCAAGAAACGGAAGTGCAAAAATGACTTAAAATGCAAACACAAGAAAGCTGCAGAGTTTGGAAAGAAAAGAAAAACCGCCCAATATGATAGGAACTCCGGGTGGAAAAGAGGCAAATTTACAGGAAAGATCACCATTATCATACCTGCTCTTTCATAGTCCCTCAAGTCATAAAAACATTCAGCTGCAGACTCGAACCTGCCAATAGAATAAAAGATTTCAGCAGCCTCGAGAAGATAAGTGTGAGCCTTTTGGGGATCTGAATAAAGAACTCGTTCAGCAGCTGCCCTAATACCAGCTGCCTTTGCTCTTTTTTCCCAATCCGTTTCTCCTGCTTGCTTGAAACACATTAGTGCCATCTCATAATTTTTCTCCCAAAACAGCTGCATGACAACATCACCACTTTATGAGGACAAGATAAAATCGAGATGTGTATTTAATGACATAATACGGAGAGGTAAATAGTGAACGAGGGAGGCAACGGAACTAGGAAGATCAACTTGACCTTCATTCCCCTTGATTTCCACTCCTCTGGAGTGCTAAATGTTTGCATAGCTTCTGCGACTGAATCATCTACCTCTCTTACTTCTACCAAACACAACCTTTGCCATTACTCAAACATAGGCCTAGAAAACTCATCTACGCTTTCACATATCCATAACCTTTGCCTTGTTCGAGTAACTGCCACATAAAGTTGCTTCAACTCAGAGCACAAGACATTATGTCTTGTATCCGAGAAACTTGGGAAGGACAAATCGGCAAAACTTTGTTCATTCAGGAACTCATATACGACTCTCCACTGATTTCCAAGTGGCGACGAGCTAAAAAAATTGTATAGGAGTACATCCTACAAATGATCAATGAAATATGAACATGAGAAGAATTCAGTAAAAGACATAGCAAAAATGTAATATATTCAGCAACTTTTCCAAGTAGAGTTAAAACTGTAGCAAGGTAAGTTATGTGCCGCAAACCAACCTATTCCGTCTTATAATGTCTACCAACATTTCAGTCAAATGAACTTTATGTGTGTGTGTGTGTGTATAGTATGTATAATCTTCAGATAGCCAAGAAATCTAAATCTTCATTAGTTCCAATATAATTTAGTCATATATATCCTTTAGAATAAGGAATTCACTGTTCTAGAATAATGGGATCAAATGACAGATTTGCAATGTCTCTCTAATTATTGTAGCAGATTTTATTAGCCATATGCGAGAAAAAAATTGATATTATTTCTTCCCAACTTTAATTATCACACAAAAAGACACCTTGCACATGAATAATACCCCTATCGCGGACCATTTAGAAATCACATTGCACATGAAAGTATTTTCTACGTACTTCCAAAGCATGTCTCTAACATGTACGACCACAGATTTGGTTTCTTCAAAACAACAGAAACTTGCTAGTGTATGATAATTGCGCCACAGGCTGCCTACATTTAGGTCAAGAAAGGCGGGAGAAAGAGGTAAACAGCTTGTTATTCAAGCCTTAGAGTAGTAAGGTCTCATTACTCAATTTTTCAAAAAAAGAAAGAAAGAAAGAAAGAGATCAAGCAGCTCACTTTTGGGGATAAGTATACTAATCCATGAGCATTAATTATCCGATTTGTTAAACCCTAGAGTTAAGACATGTAAAGGTTCTACACTAAGCTCTTAAATAATAGCCACGCGACAAAATTCTGTCAACTATCACTGAAACTAAAACAAGCAGAAGACTTGCCTCAAACTCTAAGCCTTTGCATTCCACAATGGTCAAAACAAGAGCTTTCTGTCCAATTAAACCAGAGATTTCCTTCTTGGCAGATTCGTCACGAACTAATATTACCTGTTCTGCACCAAAGCCCACTATTTTGCCAACATTATTGCCCCTATTCCCAAAAATAGTTATAATAGCATTTTCATCATCTCCGGGCTTGAGCAACACTGGAGCTGCACCATCTATAAGACTTGTCTCAGGTTTCAAGACATCTACAGATTGAGGGAAATAATGACGAAGTAGATCAATCACACTCTGAGCAAGCTTGAGTACACCAGTATGAGTGCGGAAATATTGAAGCAACTGAAAAACACGTGACAAGTGTCCTTTATCTTTTCTTTTGGCAGCTTTGTCACCCTTGGAGTCCATGACAAACTCATTGTAGAATAGATTTCTTATGTCTTCAAATCGAAAATCGATTCCCCTTGCAATTGTCTGGGCTGTATCCCCAGAAAAAACGAAACCTTCATCAACACTCCTGCAAATGTATTTGAAAAGAGAAATCTGTCTCATTGTTAGATCCTGAACTTCATCAATATACACAAAGTCTATCTTGTCACCATCCAAATGATGACATTTTAGCCGATGATGGAGATCATTAACTAAATCAGATATATCAAATTCACCACGCTCCATCTTCATCTTTTCATAAGCTCGGAAAACATCATAAATTCCGTTTCTTTTTTCTGCACTTAGATTGGAGACCCGGTATTCAGACATCGAAACATACGCATCTCTACTTAGCTTCCCGTCAAGAAAATCCCCTGCTTGCAGCCCTCCTTTTATATGAGAGATTATTTCAGTAAAGACCCTTGAAGAATCAAGATTCTTGGTTAACTGACTACTGAAGCGAGGCCAATACAAGCAACAGAAACGGTCATAGTTGATCTCCTTCTCTCTTATGAAAGTTTTCAGAGCGACTGACCTCAAATTTTTATCATTGGAAAGTTTCCACTTCAAATTAAATCGATCAAAGAAGGAGGAACCTACAGTTCCATCAAGCATCATTAAGAATTTATGAAATGTGATTACAAGAGGGTATTTTTTGTATGGAACGTCAGTAAAAGAATTCGGTATGTCATTAAACTGCTTCATTCCATCCAAATCATCAACTTCGAAGCTACTTTCTGCCCAAAAACTTCCTCCACAGGCAAACCTGCAGATTTATCAGTGGTAAGTGTTAGAGGAACACAATTACGATCAACAAATTTTATGCCTATCAGGAACACAACTAAACATCCATGTCACTAATATCACCTGCATTATGTGAACATTACTAAAAAAAACTTAAAATCAGCATGCACTAAGCTGATAAGTTTGCACCACAGAACACAATAAAAATAAAAAAATGTTAAAATTAATTTTACATTAAAAATAGCATAAGATGAAGGAATTATAAAGATACGTATTAAATAGTAATTATCCTTTTCCTATTTTCACCTCTAACTCAAAAACCAATTGCATTTGAATAGAGTAGCCAATGATCTTAAACACAATAGTTTAATCAATTAAAAAAAGAGAGACCTGCTCAGTTATTAAAGTCCCCTAAAACTGAACGTCAGATCATTTTTCCATTTTCTACAAAATTGTTTAACTTACATCATAAAAGCATAAACAAAACAAAAACAACAGTAAAACTAAGTTAGTTTGAGGATAAGACATGCAGCTTATTAAAATGGGTAGTTCCACCAGGAAAAACTCTCGAACGCAGATTAGATCAATCACCTTTGTAGCTGAGAAACTTGTTTTTTGACAGCGTAACATAGTTTGGGACTGACTGTCACAAATAGTTGGCGCATGGTTGTCCTGCTAGTCTCTCCAATACAGCGACTCGCTTCATTATCCTCGTATGATCTAATTCTTGTTTCCCATGCAAATTGAATTACCTCCTTTCCTGCCGCTACATTAAATCCTTGAACAGAACTATGGTGTTGTTGCTCCTTTTGGAATAACTTCACTGTCAACACAGTAGTTTTACCTGTGCCTGAGCGGCCAAGGATGAAACTGCTTTTACTAAAACGGATTACCTCCCTCTCTTCATTAGTAACTTCAAAAGGGATATCAACTTCTTCACCATGGTGATCGGAGAGCAAATGCGTGACAACACCAGATGACAGGGAGTAAAACTTCATTAACAATAGGCTTTCGCTCACTCTTGAATTTTCAACAAAACCAATGTCATCGAGTGTACTAGTTGAGTCGCGATTCAATTTGCTCGCGACGTTCTTTTTATACTGAACTACATCACGGTGAACCTTCCAACTCTTTGGAACTTCCAAATCCCTAAACAGAAGATGAAAAGTTAAATTTAAAGAAATTTTTAAGGAGACAATTTCAGTTTATCATAATATTGAGAATAATAGAGCGTAAAAGAGCTAGTTTACCCCTCAAAATACTTTTCCTTGCAGAGGCTGATGAATTCATCGGTGTACATTAAATATATTCTATCAAGACGTCTTAAGAAACCCGCAACCTCCTCCAAAGGCAATAAATCCCAGACCTTCAAAACTTGTGTATAAAATAACTCTTTTTGAATTTCAACGGTACACACAACATAACGACCTTCAACCACCTTGAACTGCTTTACCACCTGAGATGAGCTTTCACAAACTAACTCTACATTCCTTCTCTTCGGCCGCCATCCACTAGCAAGCTTAACCAGAAGAGTTAACACATACTTTCTCAAGAAGGACGATGCCAGCTTTCGAAATGATTTTCTGAAGTTGTCGCTGAATACTACCTGAAGAACAAAATAGAAGAATAACAGCTGAGGAACAAGTAAAAGGATTGATACACGACTGCTTTAGCAGACAACAAAGAACCAAAAAAAGTAGTTGCGGGTGAATAATGATAATGACCAAAGTTCTTTACACAATGAACGAAGCCCATGCGAAGAATGACTAAACACTTAGAACAGAATAACAAATGTTTCAAACTATAACCAATGTAAGTTAGAACATACACCAACAGTACGGGGGGTGAAACTATGATGATAATGGAATGCTAATTGCTTCTACTAATGATAAACCATAGTAAAAGCCACAAAAATATATCAACTGTAAAAGTACATATTTCCGCGAACAAACAATCAGTAGGAGGAGGCAGGATATTTATTCCTAATGAAACACTAATCTTCAAAGGGTTTCTTCTTTTGATAAGGTAAGATATTTTCATAAAATAGCGTATCAAGGAGGTAATGCAAAACTATGTTCCTCGGACACTCCAAGAATATTGTCACACCCGTGTCGGATCCTCCAAAAATACACTACGTTGGAGGACCGACATCCACCTAGCGGCATTTCTGAAGAGTCCGAGCAACATAGATACAAAATACAAAAAGATATCAGCAGTTGCACTGTTACATCATTTACCCATATATATCTTCCGAAGGATCAAAAAAATAATCCGGCCCCTTTTATGTAGCTATTCTTACACCAATAATATAAAGAATCCTTAACTAGATATAATCCAACAATTAACTACTTTCACACTTCATTGAATTTCAGATACAACTTTAATCATGTATCCTAGAAGAAGCATATATCCTTTCTAATGAATAAAGGCCCGTGCAAACAATTTATGGGGTTCAATATACAAGAAAATAACTAAGATAACAGGAGAAACGAGCTCCGAAGCCCAAACATTCGAGTGCATGTAACGTTCACAGTGTCAAAAATTCATCTTAAAATGACCCTTCTGTATTCAGAAAAAGTTGTGTAAAAGACCAAAATATTACTTTGTCCATTTATCTTGTAACAAAAGCAAGAGAAATTAATAAATGCGCGTACCTTCCATCTTTGTTCCTTGAACAGAATACTATCCCCATTTAGTAAATCATCCAGTTGATCAAGTTCTTTCTTCACATCTAAAATTGTTTTCCTCATGTTAATATCGTCGTCTGCATGAAAGAAGCATTGACGATCCTTGGCATCGAGAACTAGTGCTTCCCAGATGGAGTTGCTAGCGAGTAATGTTTGCTCATTTCCCAATATCCAGAGACAATGTTTAGAAAGAATTGAAAATCTTAGACATCATATTAGAAGCAGAAAGATACAAACTGTAACAAAACCGAGTATAAATTTGATCCATACCGAGCCCTGGTTAACGCAACATTAGTCCAATGAAGACTTGACATGAAGCCAATAGACCCAGAGCGATTAGATCTCACTGTAGATATTATTACAATATCTTCTTCCCCTCCCTGAAATGCATCAATAGTTTTCACTTTAACTTCAAAATGTTCATCATCATTATACTTCCGCCCAAGTCTATCTTGTATGGCCAAAACTTGAGAAGCATACGGTGATATAACACCAATGCTGAGTTTCTTCTTGGAAGCACTCCAAGCTGCAACATTAATATCGTAGAGGAGCGTCAAAAATGGAAATTCAGGTGGAGGCTACAAACAGCATCTCTCCATACGAAACGGCCTAACATTAATTCAAGTGTTTGAAGACCTACTCATTGAGAGAGCGCAATCATAACAAGCAAGCAAACAGCAAACTAAGCTATATATTTCAAGTTACCCAAGTTGGCTAGCGGAGATCCCGCAATCATTAGACAGACAAGAACAAGAATAAGGTATTAGAAGTCATTAGCAATTTTTGGAACAACGCCAGCACATCCTCATCCATAGATACTAGTTCTTACCGAAAAGAAAAGAAAAAAATGTAATGACCCAGAAGTTATTAACTAAATAAGTTTAGCTAGTGGAGTTCGCTCTTGAATCAGCAGGGGAGGTTTAACTAATCACATAATCGAGGGCTCATATAATTAGCTACTTATTGAAGCTCAAGGGACTTCATTAGTAGCCTGCTATTGCATTGTCTCACACTCCTAATCCCAAGCCTCTTCCTTTTACGCTAGTAATGAGCAGGGGTGGAGCTAGCATTGACAGTACGGGTTCGGTCGAACCCAATCACTTTGGTCTAAACCTTGTATTTTTCTTAAGACTATATTCCCTATTATTTACATAAATAATCCCCAACTTCCTCAATTTTTTTTTTTGTTTCTCTTTATGCTTTTGGAAAGTTTTAGCGTCCTTATGTACAAAGACCATTATTAAAAGCCGTTTAGTAAGTTATTTCCAACCGGACAAGCACCATGAGAGTCCCCGGCATCTAAATGAAGCAAAAGATCATTGAGGCAAAATATACCCACTGTAACGTCTTTGTATTATCATAAACTAATCATGCCAAGCAGACGTAGGATTAAAAATTAATTAATTAGCATCGAGAAAGATAAATTTATGAAGGTAAAAAGACAAGGAGAGCATTCAAGAAAAATTTTAACAAAATGTTTCAAGTTTTCATCGATATAACTATACCTTTGAACAAGCTCTCCACTATTTGCAGTACCAAAGCAACCTCAACTAAATTTCGCCTGTATCCAACATTATCCAGCTCTTCTTCTCCCCAGGGTACATTTATAAAAGAATACGGGCCAAAACACTGTCCCGTAAGATATATTTTCTCGTAGGCTTTACACTTTACATCAGGCGCATCAAAAATTTGCTTACGATAGAAAATTGAATTCGGGAACTGGCTTATTGACGGATGCATTCTGTACTGTACGTTAAGCATGTGATTTGCATGACCAATCGAGACGAGTCTTTCCGATAAGCTCCTTCCAAATCCAGCTTCACGAGAAATCTAGAATGGAGCAATAAACTTCTATTAATAAAAATTTGGTAAAAGTACTATCAATTGAAGTTCCTATAAATTGCACGTAGAAAAGGTATACGTACTCTACTCTTCACTTTTGCGGACAATTGGTACTCATCTCCGGCCAGAATTGCATGCCTCAAACCTCGAAGTTGAAGGGGTATTATGGCTTCACACTCCTTCAACTTGTCGGCATCATCAACAACCAATAAGTCAAATGGCTCCGTATCCACTGAATGTAGCTTATACAACGTAGAAGCAGTGCAGAAAACCAAGGAAGCCATTTGGATACAGAAGTCCGTTATAAGACCCTTACTCATTGCACTAAGAAAATCCAGTTTCCCAAGAGATCGCTGAAGATCATTCAGAAGGACAAGCAACCGGCTACAGAAACTGCGTAAAGACAAGTCACCCAAAAATGACTTAGAAGAAGACACTCCAAATGCTTGCTGACATAGTTCAAGAGACCCGACATTCTTTTGAAATAGCATCCCCTCAAAAGAATCCAGTAAGGAGAAAACGCTCGTCATTCTTTCAATGTTCTCTTTTCGAATGAAACATATTGGTAAATGAGTACAGATTATAAGCATGCATTTTCGGAGAGATGAAGCTGTCGACCTAAATGGGGCTCTGGCAAAATCAATCAATGAGATGTATGGGCAATCCTCCAGAAAACCGATCATAGAACTAACACAATGATTCCAACCAGTTGTTGGTTCAAAGCACTCCACTAGTCTGTCAACACGATAATTGAGGGAAATCTCCGCAATATCTTCACCATCTTCGTAGTTGTTATTCCCAAACAAGAGAATTTCACCTAATGGACAAAAGCCTTCAAATTTGTTCTTAGATGATTCCCGGACTAGTTTAACCAATTTTGAAGCAACTTGGGCTGTTGCTACGTCTGTTGGAGTGCAAGTGACAGTTCTATACTTCATTTGCAACAGCGTATAGAGCATTACACTTAGCGTCCTAGTCTTTCCTGTACCAGGCGGACCACAAATAAGTTTGACGGAAGCCTTGTGGTGGCATTTCATAGTGGCAAGACATGTGAAGATTGCATTAGCCTGGGAATTGTTCAACTTGGACAACAGACTACCCACAACTTGTCCAACTGATAGCTCATTAGTGGATGCGGAACAAACATCGCATTTCTGTTCGATCCGTTTCTGCAAGAGAAGAATAGAAGCATACAGTCCAAGAGAATGTGTTCTATGCCGTAAATTAACAAGGGACAAAGTGTTTTTAATGTCTACAGAATACATATTGGTGCATCAACATTGCAAGGTAATGATAAAAGAACATCCATAAAACAAAAATACAACTTTGAAAACTTTCTCTCTCACTCTCTCACTCTCTCTCTCTCACACACACACTCTCTCTCCCCCTCACATACACACACACACACACATATATATACACACACACACAACTAACACCAGTTTTTCTTTTAATTTTGGAAAGAATGCTAAGATAACTCTGTTAAAAACTTTACTTGTCACAATTGAGAGACAAAACCGTCACACACTAACTTGAAACTAATCACACTGATCATATCAGACCAAGATACCATTTTCAATTCAAAATCCACTTTATCATAGCAGCAACAAATCAGAAGGCTAAAGGGGGCATTGCTTTCATCGATATTCAAATACATATATGAATAAGAGAGGGACCTTGAGATGAGGCTTCTAACAGAAACTAAAAATAAGTAAATCACTATATTATTTACCTCGTGCACGGGGCGCAGGACTTCCTCAATTATATTCAAATTCTTTCTCATACTCAATGCATTCCATATGCTGTTATTAGGCATCACATTTACCAAAAACACTATATAGACTGCTCGTCGCATTACATTATGTGGAGGAAATCTGACTTTAAAACTAGCCGATGCATCATTCTCATTCTCATTGACATCAGTAACATTTGCAAACGTCCAATGGCATCCCGGTCGCTGAAAGTCCTTAGTAGTTTCAGGTTTAACATTTGAGATAACAACAATATCTCCAGGTGACGTCCTATAACGCGTAGCATCACTACATGTATTCCTCCAATAGTCAACCTTAACATCAAAAACCAATGATCCATAATTTGGCTTTACTTCATCAAAGGAGATCAACTCGGCCAAAGGTGATTTGTCTATGTCTTTTAATGAAGCAGCAATATCAGCTCTTGTTTCTTCAAGCAAGGGGAAGAAAAATGAACCAAGGTAGTGCTCTAATGATTCAAATGATTGAGGAATCTTCTCCACCTAGACACCAACAAATTAAATTGAAAGTAAATTCACATGGTAACAGGAGCTAATGAATGAGACAATTACAAACATACTATTTACTAGGCGGCAAAAATTTACAACATTTTCAGGTTCTATCTTTAAAGTTGAAAAGCAAAGTAACCTTTTCTCAAACAGAAAAAGAGAACTTTTTGAAAGTTAAAAACTTACGGCTTGTTTTGATAGTTGTTACATGTCGTTTCATAATGTATCGGACTGTATTGTATCGTATTGTTTGATGAATACGATGTTTGGATAGATTTTATCATTTGCTGTCGTTTCATGATGCCAAGCACCAACAATATAAAGAATAAATTTGTAAGATTACTTAGAAAGAATAGCATACGAACTAGAATATTATGTAAAAAAATAGAGTAAATTAAAAGATAAAATATAATTGTTTAATAATATATAAGAAAGGGCAAGATGAGAGAAAAAGTAAGGAACGACACCACACCAAATCTGTCCTTACGTAAAAAGGCAATTTTCGTTGTTACGTCACGATGGATTTAACGATACGAAATAATAAAATTTATGTAACAATCAAAACAACCATTGTATTTAAATTAACAATACAATACAATAGGTAACAACTATCCACAATTATGCAAGGAATATAATGCATGGGATTACAATATTATTATTAATAATCCCTAGATTTTTTGTAATAGTGCCTTTTCAGATATTGAATTGAAAATGAGATACACGCTGTATAATCCATAACATATGTTTGGTTTGAATTAACCTGAATAAACATATATTGATTTTTGTTTCCACTTTCAGCCTTAGATATTTCAATGATGACAATGGAAAGAAACTTTGAAGGGGTAATATTGTTATTTTGATAACTTTATCCTGGTACAGCTAATCTCGGTTTTATTATCAATAATAGGGGTGGCAATTTAAGCCCAAACCCATCCAACCCGCCCAACCCATCTAGAGATTAATGGGTTGGGCTACAAACATATTAGCTCATGGGTCAATTTGGGCTGAGCCCAAGTTAACCCATTATTTTTTATAGTCCATTCTGACCCATTAAACATCCCAAATACTACCCATGAAACTCGCCCAAAACAAAGGGATCATAATCCAACTTATCTAGAAATTTACTTAGTTGCCCCAGCTTTACCTTTTTTTCTTTTTTGTATTTTCACTTTTAAAAGACTTTTTTGTGCAAGATGAGCATGGTTCTAAAACATGGGTCAAGTTTGGCTGGTTGGGTTATGACCCATTGTTTAGCCCATCTTGACCCAACCCATCTTAGCCCAACCACACTTGGGGCTGGGTTGGGCAATAACCCATTTATTGACCTAACCCGTCTTGACCCGCCCAAATTCAGCCCAACCCGCCCATTTGCCACCCCTATCCCACAATAACTATGGGATAAATGTGGGTCGTTTGGTTTAGACATTTTTGTGCAGGGATTATAGTATATGGATTAGTAATGCAGAGATTAATAATGTAACGATATGATTGTAATGCATGACTTGTTATACAGGTATTATTCCTTGTAAAAGAACATTGATGTTATTTTGGTTATTCTAGTTGTTCTTAATCCATGTATTACTAATCCTTGCTTAAAATAATACATAAATTCCTGCATAGCTTATACAAATATTATTTATGCAAGCAATAGAAATGATAACTAAACGCCGGATTGGTAATGTTGAATGTTATGCCAGGTATCAAAGAGCAACCAAACGTTGTGTTATTAATGCTAGATTTTATGCAAGTTTTAGTAGAAATGACATCAGGTAGCCACTTTACAGGGTTGCTAACAAAAATGTCCTGAATTGTCTTGAAGTTTAGTTTAAAATTTCAGGACAAAATAAGTACTGGTTAATCTCTAAATAGCATCCTTGAGAATGGCTATTTATGCAGTTGCCCCCAAGTTTTATCATACCCCATGTATATGAAACCAAATGGCCCATGAATAAACTTAATCCTAAATTTTATACCGGGTTTAGAATCCTAAACCAAATAACCTAAAGGCGACTTAAAGAAAAATAATAATGAAAAAAGGAAAAGGAGATAGGCAAACAATTATATTCAGTTTTTTGGTCATCTTAAATTGCATTTCATAATTCTAATCTTCTTTCTCTTTATTCAAATTGAATACACCTCTAGTCCCATTTTAGATTACTCTTTATAAAAAATAAATAAATAAAGTGTACGAAATTACATATCCACCAACCTCGTAGGCTCATAATCACAAACAAGAAAAAAAGTATGACCTTATATACTATACTAAAAATATTTTTTTATTTTTACTTGTTCATTTTAGCAAATCAAGAGAAAGATAATGTAAGTCATCCAAAATTTTCTTTTTGATAATTCTAAAATATTGCTTTTAATTAAGGTTCGCCACTATTATATTTCATAAAATACAAAAAATGCAAAAAGACCTAATATACCACATGATATATATATATATATA